ATTTATAATTTAATTAAACTTAAACCTGATTTTATTATATAACCTAATATTTTCGATATGATCTTCTATACCCATGCTTTTCTGTATAACTACCTGCATTTGATTTATTAAACGGATAATTCGGATCGGGTTCTGAAGAAAAAATGACAATAGCAATCTTTCCAATTCAATTTGTTCCATTCCAATAGTAGAGTTTTTATTCAACTATAACCCCAATGTTACGATGATAACCATCATTAGCATCATGTCCCTCATCCATGACCATGCATTTATCTCATACATACATGACATACATGATGGGTCTGAAATGGGTTTGGATTTAAGGAATATTTTCTCTTTCTCCGTTCATGAGGGTTTACTAGAATATTAAAATATAATAACGAACATAATTACATGATCAGATATCGTAATCATGGGTTTGACATTGATGGAGGTTAAATGAAAAAATTAGGCACCAGACATGAGGGCGACTTATTAGGCCCCATTCCACGTCACTCACACGCGGTGCTCCGCTGGAGTTTGAATTTGCAAGCCAACTCCCTTCCTTTTCCTTTTTCCTTCATTCAACTACCCCCTTTCCTCCTGCTCATTTCAATGCCCTTTTTCTTTTGTAAATTTCAAATTCAACATTTGACAACTAAGTAAATTTATTCATAATCTGTTTCTTTTTTTCTATGGGGCTTTTATTATGTATTATTTTAAAATGTTTTTAATATATAGCTAGCATGTTTATTTCTCGAATTAAAATCGATGGTCCATGTTAACAAATACATAAGATAATCATAAAAATGGAGGTTCATGCTTCCTTATTTTAATACCAAGGTTGTTACTACGTCCATTACGACCGAAACTAAAGAAAAGCCTCTTCTAGAATAATGAAGAGGAAATGAAATGTTTATCGCTACTATATTTAAAGTTTTTAGTCCATGGCCATTCTTTTGAATTCTTACTTGAATTTATATTCAATATTTGTGATTTTATTCCATGTTAGTAATTTTGTTATATTATACAAAATATTTTCTATTTATACACAAGAATATTATATAAATATTAAATATTTTGGTATACATATTATGACCACTTTTAAAACATTAAAATTTAAGGTAAAGTACACTCGTGACTATTTAATTGTGAGAAGATTTTAATCTAATCATCGATCTTTTAATTCTGTCAATCAGATTAATTAATCATTTAAATGATGTTAATCAAGCTACCTTAGCATTTGATTGAGGAGTTGACGTGATAATTAATAAAATTAATATAATTATAAATTTAGTCTTCTTTACTTACAAATTCGATTAATTTGGTTCTAATTTTATTTTAATTTAATAAATTAATCTTGAATCTTTGACGAGGGTTTGACATGCCTTTACCATTGGATCAACTCCCATATTTGGTATATGATTTTCAATTTGTTCTATGTATCCCATATTCTAGTTAATGCCAGAAAAATAAAAATAAAAGTGACAATGAAAGGACTAAAACCTAAGTCAATTGAAGAGTGTAGAAGCATGTAAGCTACTAAGGTAAATCTAATTATTGATTTTAAATTGAATACATTTTATATGTTTTTTAAAATATAATTAATGCAAGATTTCTTCTATTAAATATTAAAGATATGTGATTTAATCGATAATAATTAAATAATTAATGATTTTATTGATAAAACTAGAAAATCGATGATCAAACTGAAATCCTCTTATAATTAAGCGATCATAGTTATAATTTATCTAGAATTTAAATATTAAATATATTGAATACACCCTCTCCTAATGTCATAACCATTTAAAAAAATAATTAAATATTATTTTTTAAAAACAATTATGAATAATAATAATAATAATATAAAAATAATATATTTATAAACCCGAATAAAAACGGATGTCTACACCTAATATTAAATTTATTGAATACACCCTCTCCTAAAGATAAGAACAAGAATTATATACATATAAAAAAAGAGCTTAGAATTTGAAGTATGTAAACGGGGTTTGTTGACAAGAAAAAAAAAGTATAATTAGCAGTTGTATTAGAAACCCACGTGCAGCAGTTCAAACTTGAAATTATCTTTAGTGTAAACTTAGGGGCCAAAGGTTGGGTTAGTTCTACCTAATATACGATTAAGAAAAGATGTTACTGGAAATGTTAATATGTTTTTTAATATTTTCGGTAAAAATTTACCTAAAACATTATTATTTTTACATAAAACATTAATGTTTATTAACATTTATGGTAAAGTGTCCAATATTACCATTTCCAGTAGAAAAAAATAATATTTTAAGTAGCGCTTTGCCAGATATGTTAAACATTTATGGTAAAGCGCCCAATAATAATATTTTCAGTAGAAATAATAATGTTTTAGGTAATTTTTTAACAGAAATATTAAAAAAAATATTTTCAGTAACGTATTTCCTTAATCATATATTAAGGATGTCGTAGTTAGATTTTCCCATTGTTGAAGTCTTGTTATTGATTTTAGTTTAGACTTTCTCTACCTTTGAACTTTTGGCCCCAAAATAAGGAAACCAAGAACAGCTACTTGACCCTATATTATAAAAAAGGTTGGAAACTATGGGGTACAGGCTTCAATCAGCAACCACAATCCAAATTAGGTTCATAACATTGCTTTTTCTTTTAATTAAAGGTTCATAACATTGAGGTTTGAAGAATAGGGATATTCGTATTAATTTGTAATCGTTTATCGTAACTGTTAATTAATATAATAATAATATTTTATAAGTTAATTAATAAATTTTTTAAAGTTACACGATTTCGATTGATTAAATTATTAAAACTAACAGTTTTAATAACAGTTACTGTTACGAATTTTGATAAGATGTTAACTGATGTTAATTAATATTAAATTATAAATATATTTTTAAAGGAAAATATAAATGTAATACTATGATTTTGATCTTTACTTTTTAGTGTGTCTACTGTTGTATTTTATTCTTTAATCTTATCTTATAAAATAGAAGCATGTAGTACGTAGGTGTACTGACTAGTAATTACTATGCAGTATCAATATGTATTTTTTAATTAAATATGAAGTTTGTGTTTAGAATCTCTATTTAATTATTTTTATAAAACTTTTAATGTAATTTTTATCAGAGAAAAAAGTTTTATTATACTCAAAAGAAGTAATGAATATGTGAAAAAAATTGAAACTGATTAAAAGTTAACCTTAATCGAATCATTCCGTAACAGTTGGCTCTTAGCGATTAACTATTTTTAATAGCTAGATTAAAGTTAATAAAATTCAATAATTTTTATGATAGTTAACCGAACTATTTAGATTACGATTAATCAATGGCGAACTCTCGTGTTAAAGATTGTTTCTTATGGTTTCATAATTAAAATAAGTCAGTCCAAGTTTTGTTTTTTAAATTATAGTTTTTATCACACTAAAATCACTATCTTGGGCTCATAAGAGATTGGTGTTTGTAAAATAATGGTGTGGACATGGAATGTAGTCTATGGACCCATAATTGATTTTTCATAAACATCACTTGGATCAAGAAGTTTTGAGAAGGTTGAGAAAGAGAACCCTACAACACTCCACAACTTTCTAATCTTTCATTCGGGTCTTTTTAAGCACTAAAAAGTCTCCGAATTCACCAGAAAAAATTACAAGAAGAAGGATGCTGATATCAGACTCACCAATCTTGTTCTTCTTCCAAACAGTCGTAGCCTTCATCTTGTTCATCATTCTCTTTCGCTTTACGCTCGTGTTCTTCATCCCTGTCATTCTCTTCGCCATTTGCTCCGACATTGTTTACCTCCTTTTAGACCTTCTTTCCCCATAATTCTAATGCTGCTTTTAGGGATGTTTACTTCATTGAGCCGCTCGAGTTCGAATCCACTCAACACTCAAATTGAGTCTACTGGATTTAAATTCAAACTCGATTCGAGATTTGACTCAAATTGAATTTACTGGATTTAAATTCAAACTCGATTGGAGATTTGACTCAAATTGAGTATTATTAAATACTTTTTTCTTAAGAATAATTGTGGCATACTAATTTGATGTATTTATAAATTAGTATTTTGATTGTAATAGTTATTTTGATCTATTTGTAAATTATTACCCTAGTTTGAGACACCAGAAGGTATATAACTGCAAGACCACCGGCTGCCATTTATATTCTATGTTTAGAGGAAGAAGATAGTGGAACAACTTAAGTTAAAGTTAGTTAGTCTTTTATTTACCAAAATAAAAAAAAAAAAAATTAAATAAGAAAAATTAAATCCTACATATATTTTAAAAAATAAACTAAAAATTATAATAAACTTAATCAACACTAAATCAAATTGATCAACTTGTATTTTTTAACGAACATGAGGTGTAAAATTTTATTTAACTTATTAAGTATCAACTTAATTCAAATACAAATTAAATAATTTCTAATTAAATACTACTCAACTTGTAATTAACTCAATAGATAAACACCTTAACTGCTTTTAACTCTTTCTTATTTTAGAGGAATGTTTCATTTTTTTTTCATATAAAATTTTCTCTACGGTGATAGGATTTTCTACTACAATGTTGTAATTATTCATATGCTATTTATTTACGTTTTAACAAGGATAAATTACGTATTTAGTACATAAATTATAAATTATAATATATTTTAATTTTTTAATTTTTAATTTTTAATTTTTTCAAAATCATACTTAATGTTTTTATTTTATTTTAGTACCCATTAAAAACTAAACGTTAAGTTTTGGAAAAAAATTGAAAGTTTAAGTATTAAATAGATCAAAACTGATAGTTTATATATTATTTTGAAGAAATTAAAATTTAAGTACTAAAACAGATCAAAACTGATAATTTATATACTAATCACATAATTTATCTTTTTAACAAATAAGAAAATGTGAGTTTTAGTTAATATTCAATCAAATTATTTATATTATTCAATCACTTTGTTATAATCGTTCATATTTGAATCTGTAACTTTTAGAAATAATGATTGTTTTAGTTAGCGAGATAAGTTGATATGTGTTTCTCTCTTATTGGTAAGATTAAAAATCGATGCAACTAATTAAGCTGAAGGTGAAAGATTCCACTATTTTACAGATTCTGTTTTTCCTTTTCCCTGCCTGAAACAGAATCGAAGAATTCTTCAAATTCTCTCCACCTATAAAATCCAAACATTTCAAAAATTCAACACCAAAAATGGGGTCACCATTAACCCTAATCAATCATCCAACGAGCATCAGGTTCCTCATTTCTAGGCAATCCAACAATCTTCATTTTCTTATTCCAAAGAAATGGTCCCAATTTGCAACTGGATTCCCCTCTCTCTTATTCTAGCTCTCCTTCTCCGCTTTGCTCTCGCTTTTCTCTTCCTTCTTTCTTCCCTCTCAGTTTTCATTCTCTTCGACCCTTTTTCACTTCAAAGGCCACTTCTCAAGCTGCCAGTGACTCCTCTCAGCCTTCCCAATCCAAAACGGTGAGCTTTTCTATCTCCCTTGTCTCGAAGTGCTCTAATTGATTTCATTGTTGTGTTTTTGAAAAAGAAATGTTCCCTTTACAACCATCAGTTTCCAAGGTTGAACTTTCAATTTAAATGATATTCCCATTGTCTATTATTGATAGATGTAAATATTAGGTTTTGATTACTTTATTGAGAAGAATTATGTTATTAATAGAAAAAATGACTCCTTTTTGTCCTTCCATGGTTGTCAAGATTATGACTGTCTTGATGAAACTAATTGGACTGTTTAAGTTTCACTAATGGATTGATTGCCCCCTTTAAAATTTCTGTTAATTATGAGTTGCTTCTATAGTTCTATCTGGAATCAGCGATTACATATCACAAGAGTTTATTTTGTGCCAACTTTTTTTAGCCTCTTCTTGGGTAGTGATGATAACCTCTTTCGGCTGTTTCTGCAATTTAGGTATCATAAACTTTTGAAGTCTATTATATGCCTATAAGTCCCACTTTTTTTTTTATTTCAAGCTATGTGACATGAACTCTTCTGCAAAACGTAGCTAAGGAAACTTGTAGATTGACAATTTACAATGCCTATCCTGTTACACCCATTTTCCTTAAAAACTAACTCAATTCATCCAACGTCTTTGGCTCTGGCTCCTTCTTGACGCGTGTTCTCTTGGACATCTGTAGTGGTTATAATTGTTGACTTGACTGTTCTCTCTTGATAACATTAAGCAGTTTAATTTCTATTTTCCAAAAATTCAGCAAGCTGCTTACAACTGTACAAAAAGAATGAGCAGTATTGCAAGATTAATCTTCAGTTCTACAAAGAATTGTGTTTACAGTGGTCTCCTTAAAGTTGTCCAAGGAAATCACTTCTCTAATTTTCTCTAACGGCATATTCTCGTCTAGTTCAATTCGATGAAAAAGCCGGTTCTTGCGTTCACTCCATGTACAGTAAAGGAACACTTTCCATGCTTTGTCCATACATACTAAACATATCCCCTAGCCATTTCTTACATCCCACTGTAGTTCCTGTCACGATTCCTCTCTCTCTCTCACTGAATTCCACATAATGTCAAAACCAGCTTCCATATCTTCTCGGAGCATCTGCAGTGGAATAACATTTGATTCCTAGACTCCTCCTTGCACAACAAACAGTCCTCATCGGTTTTCATCCCCATTGAACCAGTCTGTCCTTTATTGGTAGTCCGGTAAGAACTATATTTAAGGCTATCATTGAGTGTTTGGGGGTGAAGAACTTATGGCAGATTACCTTCTCTTGCCTTGGTCTAATCTTACTCCACAGAACCGCTTCAGTTGGGATCTAGTCAATGGATTCCAACCTATTCCCAGCATCATCCAGAAGTACCTTTGATTGAATTCCTACTTTTCTGAACTTTTACCTTCCTATGAAAGTAACCTGTATTATGGTCGGTGGTCACCTTTTTGCAGCCATCTTATTCTCGACTTTTGTTGGTGTAAAGTCTCTTCACCCTTTAGCAACAACTTGAAGTTCTTGTGTGAGTTGCATTTGAGCTTTCATCAACCCTGTGTTGGCTGGACTTCCAAGTAATCTTCCCGTCCCTTCCTTTTAGTTTTAACTCTATAAAAAATAGCTTTGAAGAGGGACTGATTAAACTGCCATAACCCTTGCTTGAACCTGTTCAAATTGACATTTAAAATTGTCATTGGATTCCTTGAAGTTGTCTGCCTCGAAGAGCTCTCCACAGTTTGAATAAATTTCATGTTGAGGCCATTATAGTTTTTATTAATGCTGCACAATGATCTGGAACAGCTAGTGATATAAACTCCCCATAAGAATGTAGGATACTGACCATCAACTATTAACAAGCACCCAGTCAAGTTTCTTTTCTAAATGGTCAGCTTAATGATCTACAAAAGTTTGGTCGTCCAGTGAGGTCTGATCTAGGTGACATTGGAGTCCCTCATATCAGGAGTACTACTTTTGCTGCCATCAAAGCTTGAGTTCTCCAGTAGACTAGTAATGAAACTGAAATCCCCTGCCAGGATTCTACGTTTCCTCACTAATCCCTAGCCACAATCTTCTTCTATCTATCCTATTATTCGACCCATATATTGCTTTAAAGGAGAAAAACCACGGTTCCTTGAGTCACCTTCATGTGACAACTTCTTGATAGTTAAGGAGTATTTAGAGAAGAACCGTATTCTTCCTTCAATAGCTTCTGAGTATTATGTGACAACCATTGAAATGCTTTAAAACAATAAGCTGCAATTTGGGAACTTTAAATCTAACTAACATTCCAAACAAGAATATTTATAAGTTTGAGACCAATACCTCCTATGGTTGAAGATTGTACCTTTGCTTTCTTGGTGTCAAGCACCTTTTTCTTATTCGTCAGTTTCTTCATCAATTCGTCAAGACTTGTAGCTGCATCTCGTTTTCCTTGGTGAATCATATGCAGCAATGTCAGGCAAAGCTTCCTCCTTAGCTTCCTGTTTCGTAACAGGCATTCCCTCATTATGTTCCAAAATTAGCTCCAGCATAGAAAATTTTGTTGTTCTTGCTTTCCAAGCAAGTGCTCCTCTCATTCCCCACTGATAAGGTCAGTCCAATAGGAGTTCCTACTGAGAAAGCCAATTAGTGGATAATTCTGAATTTCCATTTATTTTTGCTCAGCCACAATCCTTTCCGTCTCCATCTGATTAGGAACCCAAACATTAGTGTTAACGTTGGCTGGCTTGCATGGACAATTTTTCTCTGATTTCCCAAAAGTGTAACATGTTAAGCATTTTGGGGGAAGCCATGGAATCTCCACCTAAATTATTGATCTAGGAATGTCTAAGCCAACATCAATATCTACACATATTTTGGCGTAAGCCAGTGTCTCCTTGTTTGCAGTTTTTCTATCATTGTAATGCCCGGCGCATTAGCTATGTAACTCAACCCCTTCCTAGAGTAAAGCTGGAAAGGAAAATTTCCCAAATGCATCCACATTGGCGGCTTCTGCATATTGAATTCTAGATTTGGATTAATTAAGGTTGTACATGAATTGAGCTTGAACGAGCGAATTTTTGTTCATGTTTGTTTGTTTATTTTTAAGCTTGTTTTTGTTTGTTTTTTTTTGGTTTGTGTTTGTTTAAAATTTCAAAATTGTGCTTATGTTCATTTATTGTTCATGTTCTTTGGTTGAAATTAAACAAGATTGTTCGTGAACATTTAATAAATATGCTTGTGCACATTAAGCAAATATGTTTACAAACATAATGATTTAATTTAACATGTTCACAAACAATTAAAAATAAAATGTTCATGAATAGCTAACAAACCATAAATAAACATATTTCTTAATTTTTAGATATAAAATAATCAAACATAAATATTAATAATTATATTGTAAACAAATAAAAAAAATACATAAACAATAATAACGAGAAATGAGCTTTAAACAAGCCTAATCAAGCTTGTTCACGAACAGAGATAAACTGTACATGACTTGTTTCAAACGTTCCTCAAAATCTTATTCATGTTCATTTATTCAGCTAGATAGAAAAAGCCGAGATGTTCATTGAATACACTATTCATTTACATCCTTGGGATTTATGATGGCAGTACCTTTGGAATTTGTGTAGGTTAATTAATTTAGTTTGTTCCAAATAGGGTTTTATGTCACAAATTATTTGGGGTTTCAATCTCTATGTTTCACTTTTGATGGATTGAGGATTTATGTGATGCAGGTAAGGGTAGCGATAAAGGGTAGGGTTCAAGGTGTGTTTTATAGGAACTGGACAATAGAGAATGCTACTCAATTAAGGTTGAAAGGTTGGGTTAGGAACAGGAACAGGAACGATGGTTCGGTGGAAGCTCTTTTCTCCGGGAACCCCGACTCTGTTCAAGAAATGGAGCAGTGGTGCCGACGTGGTCCACCAGCTGCCATGGTCACAGGGCTTGAAGTTTTCCCTTCTAGTGATGATCCTGGCACTGGATTTGAGAGGAAGCAGACAGTTTGAAGGCACTATATATGAAAGAGCTTAGCCCAGTCTATATTATAACGTTGTACTATGAGGAATAAAGTAAAATAAAATAGCCAAGTGGTTGTGAACTTGCTGATATAGTGATTGTCCTTTTCCATTTATTCCGTGTATTCATTCCTAGAAGCAGAGTGTGGGAATAGGGAGGTTTCACCCAACATTGATCGTTAACCCGATTTTGATCGTCATTACCCTTTACCCGACCCAAACTGGGTATTGGGAGGTTCACTCGTCTTGTACTTGACTCGACTTTTGGGATAAAAATTCATCTTCGATCTATTCCGACACAAATATTTCTTTTCAATTTTATTTAACGATATATATATATATGTATATATATCAAGGATATTATAGTAATTATTTATATATATATATAGAAAAGACATGATATTATCCTGGTCATGTTAGGGTTTTTCACCTTGTGTTCGAATATGAATTTCAAGAAAAGAAAATGTGATCCTAAACATTGGATTGGATTAAACCCTGTATGGTTCAAATAATTTGATCATATGATGTGGTATTGAATTTGAAAAATACGATTAAAATAATTTGAAGTTGAGAAACTAACCTAGAATATAGACTATGAAGAAGTATAACCTGCCTTATAAATAATAAGTAGGGTGCCAATAAACATCAGTTGAAACATTATTCCCCAAATATTTTAGGAAAGCTATGAAATGAACAAAGCTACCGGTAACAGTGAACTTGTTTAGTTCCGTGTTATGTCGTTGTCTTACACTTGTAGTATCATGCAAATGAATAACTATCACGTAGATAAAGCTATGAATTCTAATAGATAATTAAGTAAATTTTAGTGTAAATCATTTGATTATTTAATGAATATATATATATATATATATATATTTTAACCTTCAAAATTATTAGATAAATACATTCTTAGTGACATGTCTTTTTGAGATATCATTTTATAGGGGTGTTAAAATAATTTTGGAAATATATCACGTTTGTGAGGTTTAATAAATTTCATGTATTTCAATAATTTGTTATTACAGTTAACTTTTTATTTTCTCATTTGTGAATGTAGATAAAATTAAGTTGAATACTTTTATTTTATTAAATTAATCTCATATTTATGTTTACAAATATCTGATACAAATGAAGTATTTCATGGCTACAAATCAAACCATACCTCTATTAAATGTCCCCATACATTTGATAAATTGATATACACATGCCTTTGTTTGTCTACCATCAGACAACAGTGGCGACACTGCACAGTACAACGCGGTGTTTACTTGTTTTTCATTAATTTGACGCAATGATTGATTACAAAAACCAAACGTTTATCAATAGTAAAAATTGCATTCTTTCTTTTTTCTATACAGCTGAATTATGTGCTGTTGATCTTATAAAGTAAATACATGTTGCAGAAACCACCCATAAAAAAGGTATTTCCTTAACATCTCTAGTGCATGGAGTGGGTTGTGGTTATCATTTAACTGTACCTGTTGAATCAAATGCCCTTATATAGTTATATGCATGCAAAGATTTAATGAGAAATCCATACAAGAAAAGATAATTTAAGAACTGGTTGCTGGGTGAGTTCATATGTTACTCACTGCCGACACCCATTTACCCTAAGTTAACTCAGTCCTCCTGCCTCACCAATAATGTCAGTGTCACTGATCTGGTTTTGGAAAGGGACAATCTACTATAAACTACATATCCTATTAGAGTTTGTAAATATGTGAGATTTAACATGGTTCAATCTTACTTATCTCAATCAATGATAAAAATAATAGGCTTAATATCAAAATAAGTGTCTAAACTAAATTGCTTTTTCCGGATAGATGCTTAAATTATTTTTGACTCATCCTGGTGCCTAATGTTACAAACGTTACCACTTTAGGTACTCGGGTTATCAATGACGTTATTTTTCTCCGTTAAGTGACACGTGTCACAATTTGATGATTTTAATTTTTTTTTAAAATATTATTATATTTATAAGAAACCGTAATCTCTCTTAAATTATAAAAACCCCAAAATCCTTAAAATATCCAAATCCTAACCTTAACCCACTGCTGCCGCCCTTTTCGGCCACGACAACCACCGCCAACGTAGTCCCTACCATCCTCCTAGTCATACGACACCGTAGTTGCCGTCGATTGGTCGTTGGAATCATGTGTGATTGCGATTTTCATCCTAGGGTTCTTGGGGGTATAAAACATTGATTCATCGTCGATTGATTGTCGATCGGCCACGATTTCATAGGAGTTTGGTCTCCAAGGGGAGGGGAGGTCGGGCCGAGCTTCGTCGATGGAAAAGGGTGATGATCGGTGTGGGTTTAGGGGTTGAAATGAAGGTTTTCAAAGTTTTGGGGTTATTTCAAAAAATTGTGTTTTCTCTTAAAAAATATATAATTTTAATTTTTTAATTTTAAATAAAATTTAAAAATTAATATATTGTGACACATGTCACTTAACGGGGAAAATTAATACCATTGACGACTCAGGCACATAAAGTGGTAACGTTTGTAACGTTAGATAACGAGATGTGTCAAAAAATAGTTTAGATACCTAATCGGGAAAAATGTATAGTTTTGTCACTTATTTTGGTATTAAGTCAGAATAATGATATACTATAAACATCAAATTCACAAAGAATACAAATATATAATATCCTATGTACCTCAAAATACGATGTTTACACCAAAATTCTATATATATCAAATCACTCTTCCAATATCCATACAAAACCCTATATTTGCAATGTAAACTCTAAAAGTTGCACACTACAAAAAGATTACATATTTTCAAAATAATTCTTTTTCATAATTTTAGAAACTAAGACATACTCTATTTATAAGGTCAAATACTTGGTCATCAAGAATTCTTATTAATTTAACTTAATCATCAAGTAATCTTCAATTAGTATATTTATAATAAAATTCAACTTAGTGTCTAATTAGAATTTGATTCAATATCTAATAAAAAACACTCGAATCCCATCAGATTATACAGTATGTACTATGTACTCCATGGTTATTACAACTGTTTGAAATTCGAGTAAATCGGTAAATAAAGCTTTCAGCAAAGAAATCAACCACTACTTTTATTCCGCGTTCGATAGGAACATCAATGATATGCTAATCTGACGCTAAGATTTTGCAGACAAGGACAGAGTAGTGAGATATTTGACAAAATGAAGTTGGGAATATGGTGATGTAGATTAATCAAGAAATTCTTACCTCCTGTGCTGTCATTTTTAAAACCTTAATCCGACCCTATTGGTCAAATGTGCTCCGCGGAAGTCCATTATTTCTTTGTTTACCAACTATCAAACATGCGTAGGGACATTGTAAATACCACAAAGTACTTCTGAATAGTGCTGAGTAATAATGGAAGTATTGTGCAACACAACTTTCAAGACTAGGTCTACAAAAGCAAAACCAGAAGCAGAAATGAAGCAGTACCACCTGGTTCAAATTAGTGAACCGATAGTATGACCGGTTCGTTAACCGGTTCGGTTCTGAAAATCATGCTTGATACTACATCAATGAGTTTAAGGTTCCGTTAAGTACTAATTTTCCAAATCATTTAAAAGGTCTTGTCATGAAGAAACACTAAATCTTGTCCCACTTTATCTGCAATATCCTGAAGAAAGAAAAGGCGAAATAAAAAAAAGGAAAAAAGAAAAGGCTTTGAAAATGAATTTTCACGTTGAGAACAGTATAAACCTTTGTGGCTCCACAGCATTACTTGGAATATATTTTCCAACTTGATAAACCAGTATAAATACCTCCAAGTCTGGCAAAAGTAGTGTGTAGATTTCAAAGAAACTCATAAATTTACATAGAACTTGTCTATCAAGAACATGGCAGAAAGCAAAAGAGGCTTAATGATGTTCCTCCCTTTTTTCGAGAAACTACGAAAGCGACTCTCGAGTTCAGCATATGGCTCATCTCCGACTCTCAACCAGTCCACATTTGACGAAGACATGAGCGTCGGTAAAGCAGTGCCGGGCGATGTTAAAGAAGGGTGTTTTGCAGTCTCTAGAGGGGAAGGGAGAAGAAGCACAAAGGTTCATTATTGAATTAGGCCACTTAACAAACCCTGAATTCCAAAGCCTACTCGATCAGTCTCGGGATGAATACGGATCCCATCAGAAAGGAGTTCTTTCTCTCCCTTGTCACCCTCATCAACTAGAGGAGATTCTAGAACACAGCAGAGAAACCATTGTTGAAACTTGGGATATATGTAATGCTACCATAATAGAAAGCAACCAGGATGGCAAATAAAAGATGTCTTGTAAGATTTCGAGTTCTTGAACCAGTGAACATGTCTTGCTTGGTTCTCAGATTTGTTAAATTTTAGCAGTGCTATGCTGTGTTAGTTGGTGATCACTGTGCCTGTCGAGTCCTTTCGCAAAGTGTCGTCTTGGTCAGTTGATCTGTGTGCAGTTATCTTGTATGATTAATATCAAGTTATGTTAGCTCGTGAAATTCAAAAACGTGAGCTGTTTCTTTAACTTTGCCTTCAGGTTGTCGTAACCGTCTTTCGGTTGGGCCCCGGAATTGGGCTTCGACTTGAAAAATGTGATTGGAGTCGCCACCGATTATTTATTTAAAAAATAAATAGGTTAATCGGATACCTTATATCTTACCTGATCTGCGTCTTACCAAAGATATGTCGGATTCGGGAGTCGATTACGGTCAAGGAAGGATTAGCACCCTTGAACCGCCCTTTCGGTACTACGTAATTTGCCGGTTGTCTTAAATTAAGAAAATTGTAATTTAAAATTAAAAGGTAAAAATACGATCACAATTACTTACCTTAGATAGTTTTAAAGGTGTGGCCTTAAGAAGGTCAAAAAACCATGTTAGATAAAAAAGGTAATAGATAAAAAGGTAAGAAATAAATAAATTAATTAAATTAAAATAAAGAGAAAACAAATTAAATAAAGATAAGATAAAGAAAACAAAGATAAAATAATAAGTAAATAAATATAAAATAAAGAAAAAGAAAAAAAAGAAAAAATATAGAAATATAGAAATAAAACAAATAAATAAAATAATAATAAAAGAGTAAAATATATATATAAAATAA